GTGCGCCGAGAACTTCGCCAATTTTGTAGCAACTCAATCCGGAAAAGTCGGCAAGACATATGATATAAAAGATCTACTTTGCAGATACGCCAACGACACGGTGGCCACGTGCGCCTTCGGTATCGACGTGGATTCTTTTAAGAATCCGAATAACGAATTTTTCGTGCTTGGCAGGAAGGCAGTGAATTTTGATAGCATTCTATCTTTTAAGTTCTTAATCTACAGAAACTTTCCGCTACTTGCTAAACTTCTCAAACTGAGAATGTTTGGTCCAAAGGTAGAGAATTTTTTCAAAGAAGTCGTTTCTGGCACGTTGAAAGTCAGAGATGAGCAGGGTATTGTTCGTCCAGACATGATTCAGTTGATGATGGAAATCAGGAACAAAGATAATGGACCTGAGTTCAACATCGACGAGATGACCGCCCAGGCGTTCGTTTTCTTTCTTGCTGGATTTGATTCTGTTTCAACAGCTATGTCTTTCATGATGCACCACGTCGGTATCGATTCCAATGTTCAGAGTAAATTGAGAGAAGAAATCGACGATGTTCTCAGACAGACTAATGGCAAACCTACCTATGAGGCCATTAATCGCATGAAATATTTGGACGCTGTGATAAACGAATCTCTCAGAATGTATCCAACAGTACCCTTCCTGGACAGAATATGCGTCAAAGAGACCGAATTACCACCAGCGACTCCGGATGGCGAACCAATTACGATAAAACCTGGAGATATCATATGGTTCGCGAGTTTCCCTCTGCATCGTGATCCAAAGTACTTTTCACATCCAGAGAAGTTCGATCCAGACAGATTCCTTAACGGCAATGTAAATAACTTGGTCTATATGCCATTTGGTATTGGGCCCAGAGTCTGCATAGGAAATAGATTTGCCCTTATGGAATCAAAAATCATGCTGTTTTATTTGCTTTGGCGCTGCGATCTCGAACCCGACGTCAAAACTAGAATTCCTATGATATTGAAGAAAACATTCTCTATGTTGGCGGACGGAGGTTTTTGGTTGAAGTTGCAAGCGAGGAAGTCGGAGGCTGCTGTTACACAATTATCGAATGGACAGAATTGAGGAATAGTAATGAAGCATATTTGAAATTCATTTCAAGCATAAAATTAAATAAAAGTTGACATTTTAAATTATAGCGAGAAATCAATTTTTTTCTCAATTAAACATATAAGAAATAAAATTAAAAGTTTTAAAATTCTATATTTTTTAAATACATGTTGTAACTCTTTTTAAAAAAAGCGAGATAATAATTTATCAAACATACATTTATTTAAATATTTAAAATATTCTGAATGTAGTACAGTAATTATAATATTACTAATATTAATTTGTTTTCTTCGTTTACATATAAATCAAATGAATTTTATTATTAGTAATAGATATTTATTGTGTGTTTTATTTTATACTATTCTTGCAGCCCATGTTTTAAAAATTATAATTTGATGTCGAATGTTAAGCTGGTTAATTTTTAAATTGTGTAGATCGAAAAAGATGCAAGTTAGCATTTATTTGACGTCGCGAGGGAGTGAGTCGATTCATTAGATGCAAATGAGCATCAAGTAAGATTTAAAATAGATGCTTTGAGCATCGATTTATTAGATTGTTTTCAGCAATTTAATTGTGATATTAAATACTACTCGGTTTGGAGCTGCAGACAAGCACGCGATTTGCGACCACGTGTTATATAAACCGAACATTGTAAAATTTACACTAAAAATTATATGGAATCATCAAGATCCGCTTTGTACCGTGTTGGCGTTTTAAGTTTTCAATTGTTAGTTAACATTCCACTGTCTCCTAATACTTAATTAAAATTAATTAACATTATTACTTTGTTTTGGATTTATTTCTTAAGATAAGAGTTTCATATATTAATATATTTGATATAATTTGAAATCTTGACATTAATATTAAAAACATTTAATATAAAATAAATAGTTAATAAATTTGTAATTTATGATCAAAATAATAGCAATTTTAATTTTATTACTTCCTACATTGCTGCTTGTTTTAGTTGCTTTGCGCACATTATTTAACTTTTTCTTTATTTCTCATTATAATAATGTTTACAATTATAATAATGCATACAATTACATTGTATATTAAACTATTAATCCTTCAATACGCACAACTGTCAAAATATGCATACGGTCGTATACGATGACAGTCACTCATGAAGTAAGCGCAATAAAAGAATCAATCAGGATCACGAAAAAGAGCCAACAATAAACTTTAAGAAGTCGAACAATAACTTTTAATAATTCGAGTATCAATTTACATGCCGTTTTTAAATAAGAAAATCACTATAAATATATATTGAACATATAAAAAAAACATAAGAAAAACGAAATAATTGAAAACCATAATTATTGTGTTTTTATCAGTTATGTACCGAATTGAGAATGAGAGAGAAAGATAAAATACTCTATAAACATTATGAATTTTTAGAAGAAGATATTGTATCTATATTGTTTTATTAGAAAATAATGGACAATGACATTGCTAAAATGAAACACCAATTGATCTCTGACTCGATTTATTAAACAGAAAAATAGCAATACTGCGTATCAATAAGAACAAGCTTATAAGTTTGTATTATACGTAGTCTACGATGTGCAATAACAGTAGGCTCTAAACTGTAAGTCATATGAAATTCACCATTTACAATCAAATGTAAAGAGAATAATTGACAATGATTGATCAATCTTACTGTTTGTGCCAGCTTATTGCTACTGCCCATTGTAGACCATAAAGATTGATGCAGTGCGCTGTCATCTCAAGGAGATAGTGACTTTATGACGTTCATATCTGCGCATTTTCGATGTTATATATCTCGCCGTTGGCATACGTGGAGAAGTTAATCATAATATTTCGCGCGTAGTGCGTGCGTCTTATTGTCAGACAATCCACTGGATAAGTGTTTCCATAAATTAAACAGAAACTTTAAAAATAATTAACAAAATTAATACCATAATGTGATTAGCAATTTTATGCTTCATCTTTCTCGCATCATAGATACAACTCTAATAATCAAATGTGAAAAAATGTTTTATTAATTCAAAACGAAAGCTGTCAACAACACTATCTAACTAGAAAGTTGTCTTCTTGAATAACTAATCCGAAGATTTCTATAGTGATGGAGTCGTCTACTTTGCTTCTGGCTATTCTGACAGCGAGTATTTGCTTATATTATTTTATTCTAAGCAAGTTATCTT